TTCACCCAATCACCAAAAACTCATCGGATATCGACGAAGCTCGACGCCGCGGTCACGCCCAAAGTTGTTTCACTTTCCAAATCGTTTTTTTTCGAAAGATATCGCGAAAAACAAGATTGTGAATATTTGCCCGAACGGACCATACATGCGGTTGTTTGTTGCCCGTTTTGATGTTTTGATGCACATGCACGAAGAAACAAAACGTGAAATCTTCCCGCTGTGCGGACGCAAACATGCACATCTGGACATCTGGAAGAGGCACGCATGCGGCATACATCTGGCGGCGAGCGTATCACACATCACACCGTCGAGGAGCACGACCAGTAGCGTGGACATAGGATTGTAACAAGACAGATGATGGCAATTGCGTCAGGCTCACAACTTGCTCGCCACATTCGTCTCAAGCCTTCCGAGTTTCCTGCCAAGTGATAGCAAGCAGATTAGCATGAAACAAGAACGACAAAGCCGTTGATGGTCATGACGTCATGACTTTGATGCGAAACACCCTGCAGCAGCAACAACAGCATGCAGGGCACGGCTTTTGCGATGAAAGTCAGTGGCGCGGCGCAAGTACGCAATCTGAACCGATCCCGCGGGGAACCATCCTGATAACGCACAGCAGTAGCAGCAGTAGACCCTCGCGCCCTGGACGGTTTCTCGCGATGATTGTAGGTGTGACCTGACTTGGGAAGGTGCATTACTTTTGGGTACGATTGTGATCATGGGTTTTTCTCTCATTGGAGCAGTCGGTTGTACCCATCGATAAACACCCACTATAATAGGTTACACATGGCGCATGCCTACAGGTGCAAAGGTCGTATAGGCCCGGCCACTCCTGGTTTTCATAGCTGGTCTCAGACCAGCGTCTCAGCGGTGATACGTTTATTGGTGATGTTCTCGCGTCTCTGTCGGTATTTCTTGTCCTGGTTTGAATCGCGCGTGCGCGCGATATCCGCTTTTGTGCACGCCGATTCGCGCAGATACCCCGGGGTCGTGGAGCAAGATCTCCAACGAAATTGCGGCACATATGCCTGGTAAGCACGGTCATCTTTTGCCGAAGCACGACCAAACCGGTGTGACGACGAGCGCGCTATTTCTCCTCTTCCTCAGAAGGGAACAAATCATCAATCGGTGCCCTATAGACCTGGTTCTGCTTCCAAAGGTGGGCTATATCGGCTTCCCGGAAACCAAGTTTTGGGGCCCCTGTATCGCGCGGCGCAACTCTGGCCGATGTACCAAGACTTTTTTCCCTCCTGGGGACGAAGGGAAAAAATGTCGCGCTTCGCCTCCGCGCTCCGCGGCTCATTATTACTGTTGTGCGGATCGTGATCGACCCAAATAGGAGGTACGCAACTGGTTGCTTATCGGTGTCAACGGCTCAGCAGAAAACAGCAGTCGGAGCAACTATCGTCAATACTACAGCAGTCCTTCCCGTAGACAGTGGAAAATTTTGTTTCTGCCCTGGCGTATTGTTCGTAACGTCCTCCTTTCGTCTACCGCAACCACTACATTCGACCCCTCTACATTTCTACTATTTCCAACATGTGACGTGCGATTCTCGGCGACAGAGTGCGACGACTCTGTGACGTCGTGTCCTGGGGGAACGAGTTGCTATCCTTGCACCGAGGGCTACATAAACCTGCGGAGATCAAAGCTGTGCTACATGCGGCCACGGTTTTGGAGCTGATACAGCTCATGATTCGCCACTTCCGTGTGAATAGTGATGACTTTCGCATTCCAAGGACCTTTTCGGGGCAGGTTTCGAGGTGACTACGAAGACAACACGTCACGGCATCAGCAATGCTTCACAGACGAACGTTGAGGTGACCGCCCCCACTCGCGCCGGTGGTGTAGTAAGTGAGCATAGATAGTGGCGAAGTAGGTCTTGAAGCACGAGGCTACAGATTGTGGTGTGACCGCTCGTTTTCTTGAAACACGAGGCTACAGATTGTTGCTGCAATCGCTCGTTTTTGATCGAAGCAACAGCGTCCGAGCACACGCCTCACATTCCACAGCATTGCACCCCTTGCTCGTTCAGAGAAAAGCCCTGGGTGGAGTGATCGAGATTGACTACGGCATCGAAGACGTCCTACGCCCAAGGGCCCTTGACTTCACATCGTGACGCCAACACTGTTTGCGTGGTTGGGGCGCCCAGTTTACGACGATTTTTTTTCCTGCCATGAGCATAAACGCCACGAACGTCGTACGACGGTGGGTTTAAAAATAACGCTTCCTGGACGATGGCATGCATCCTGGCGAGGCAGCGCCAAGGCACGGGGATGTTGTGGGTTAACCACGAGATCCTGAGCAGTAGTGGGGGTCACTCGGTTGGGTTGGCATTCCGAAAGCAATGTCGATGTATGGAACCTGAATTGGGCTTGGAATTCCGCCTCTCTCCATGTTGTATCAATCGCTGGGTGTCTACGGAGAGCGGTTGGTCGCTTGCTGCTGCCACTTTGCACTGCTGTGTACGTGAATTTTCCCAAGGGATTACTCGGTAGGGTGGTAGTGAGCAGTAACGACATTTGGCGGTTATGTGTTCGGCGGCAGGCGATATTGCGTTCGTTCGCGGTAACTACTGCGGCGGAGGCGGTAAACGATTGTTGGCGGTAAAATTGAGGAGGTATTGCCACATGGCGGTCATTTTTTTGGGAGTAGGTTATATTGCGATTTTTCGCGGTAACGACTTTGGCGGTGGCGGAAAACAATAAAACCGACGGTAAAACGACGGGATAGCGGTGCCACCACCACGGCGGTGTTTTACGGCGGAAATGGACGCCATGTGACCGCACCTAAATGTAACCGAAGGGGTCTTGTAACGTGATGGCGATATGGGGCCGGCCTGACTATTGTGAGTAGCAGGAGTGGTTGGGACTCACTTCGATTGGTAGATAGCTTTGTTTGTTGATTGCTGGAAACGTGACTAGAGAGTGGGGCCCACTCTGCTCTCTCTTGATTCCTCCTATCGATCAACTGGCAAGATACGATCTATGTAGATGCCAAGCGCAAATCCAGCCAAGACCGTCCTGTTGACGACGATAATACGATCCTCGGTGCTCTTGCCCCGAGTATTGTCCACAGGATGGTACCTGTCTACCTCAATCAGCAGCAATACCGTCACAAGTGGGCTGATAGCGCATCCGTCCATAGCCAATACCACACCCTAGGCTAAACAAAGGAGACGTAGGTGCAGATACAAGGGAAATCACTAGAAGGGAGAAAACCATGGGTCATCCCATATTGGATTCATCGGAAATGAATGGAAGATGCGGCTCCCCGTTACCCTCTCCCACACCTCCACAGATGCCAAACGAAGAGCAGCCGAGTAGTTGGCGAAGAACAGAAAAACAACACATCAGGCATC